TCAGAGTCTCGAACGACGGTCTGGACGACGGTCCGCAGTGTTACGCCAGGCCGAAGAAAAAGGATTCCGATGCTCGTCGTCGTCGTGGATGGACCGTGGTCATCGGGCCGGAACTGCGGTATGTAATCGATATCCCCCGATAATGAAATGTTAAACAAATATTATCGACAGTCATTTTTTCACAACGAATTTCGACAATTAACATTTCAATTTATACAAATAAGATGCAACTACATAGGTATACTTACTATTAAAAAATATGTTTATTTGCCATCAAATTAATTCCATCTGAAATGCACGGTTATTAATATCTTATAATAGTAGGCAGGTGCATAGTATAATAACGTAATGATTTGCACGTTGATATACGATATAAAATCATTATGTGACATTGATAAGAACGAGAATATCGGTTCAAATAGTATTTAGTGAATATCCATACATATTTTTAATTGGTGATGATATTTATTATACAACTGTAGGTAATAAATAATAACCTGTGTAAGGATTTTGAATGAAACGTAATGCAACGGAACTGACATTAATAACATATATTTTGGAATATTACAATGATTTCGGTTATGTTCTGAATAAATTCAAATAATTTCAAAATAATATTTAGCGCATATTATTATAATTTGTATGTAAGCAGCACGTCATCTAATATAATACCCCCAGCGATTATTTTGCTAAAAAAACATAAATTTGGCATTGTGCCGAAATATTTATGATTAAGTAGGTAGATATGTACCTAATATTATTATTTAAGCTGCTCATTCGCTGTTGATAAAATTCAACGTTCCAATATAGCGGACGCCATTTTGTATAATAATACAAGTTCAGAGACGGACGATATCCACCGAAAATCTCCAATTCGATACTCAATACTCGTTTTGTATTGATACCTTTGTTTAAAAAACTAAAACAATGGCTATTTAATCTAATCTATTCGACTGCGATATGTATGGTTATCACTAGTATCGTTTTAACATAATAAAATATCTAATTCGATACCAAAAATTACCTCAACTTTGATATTCGATACCATCTTAATAATATCGATAGGTGTCGATCGTCCATGTCCAAAACATTATTGATCTCCTTCACCGAAATATTAATAATTACGCGATTATAGAATCAAATTATTTATTGCGTAAAATTTAAACAAATATATATATATTTTTAATCACTGTTTTTAATTAAAAAAGATTATATACCGGCCGTTATAGTTTATACCTACATAATAACCGTGGTGTTCTACCTATATAACATACATTATCATATTTTTAATAAATTAAATTATAAAATTACACCGAATAACTTGAAATTACATAAATTATATTACTTTATTTTAATACTGTATTAATACAACCGGTGATATATTTTTCTGAGGGATTACGGATCTCCATAAATCACGCGAGTATGGCGGTGAAAAAAGACAAATCTTATTCCAGAAATGTTTCCCCGAGTTTAAAGATTTTAAAATTCGCCGTAGGCTTATTAAAGTACTATCGATTTCGCATTAATTGTGAACTGTAACTTCTGAAAACATTCAAAATAAAAACAATATATTATATATTATGATATAATAAATAATTGATAAGAATATAATTATTTGTAATCCCTACATTTTAAATAACGGTATATTGGTTTTATTAAACGTTTCGATATAAACTCTGCAGGCGATGTAAAAGAAGTAATCTTCTTAATCAGCTTATTCTATTATTTATATATTTTGTTTATTTATACATACATATATACTTAAATACCTTAATGGTTTATATTTACGTAGTCGTGGTTATTTCGCATACGTAGTAATTTTTAATTATAGCTATTTATATAAGTATAATTATTGTTAATTTAGGATATTTTTCGTTCGGCACTCTATAATTAGTAAACGTTCGATAAATCAATATAATTATCCGGTATATTTTTTCTTTCTTTCTTTTTATATGTCCTAAAGATTAATTTAACTTTATAGACAGAAAACGATGTTTTCGTGTGATTGACGACTTTCTAATGAGACGGATCATTATAGCTGAACTTCGGAATATTATGTACTTACATAATAATTTTACTATAATACATTAGACTCAGGAAAATGGGGTATTTAGGGTTTTCTAAAATTTAGAAAACGACCACTTGCATTGGTCCTTATACAAGAAAATGTATACATACGTTTTGATTGTGTTCGATATTATATTTTTTACTTGATACATTTTTAATTTTTTGATAAAATAATAATAATAGATAGTCGTATAATTAATGGATTCTAAAAAAGGGTCAAGGGAGGTGATTTATCTCTCTAATGTCTGCTTTTAAATATGCCACTGGATTCGGGTATTCCTGTGCGTACTATTTAATATAAATTTTAATACTAATGAATTAAAACATGTTCGTGAAGTTAGCCGTCTTGCATTGGCCACCTGAATTCATCTTTTGTCATTGATTAGTAAGCCATTTGTTGGCAAAAATCAAAATCAAATTCTGTAAGTATGTTCGCTATTGATTATACATAAAACATTAAACCATTAATAACTTATCGGAAGTAGGACATTCTTTTTGGTTTCAACGTCTGAACCAGCCAAGTTTTAGTAAATAATTTGTAACTATTTGTATGCTAAAAATCAGAATTCAGCTCTCCTAATATTATCCCTGAACGTTTAGCCAGCCGAGTAACTTTAACGTTTTGGAATTTGTATACTTCTTAAAGTTTTACTCCATTTGTGAGTATTTATACGAACAATCCTAAAACTTGAAAGTTGATATTTTCAGTTTTTTAGGAATTTAAAGTTATTTTTATCTTTTTGAAATTTTTTCAACGACAGTATTTTGTACTCCATCTGATAAAAGTGAAGAGTAAGAGTAAAAACTCCAAAACTTTAAAGTTGATATTTTAAACATTTCGATCATTTGACGCTTTGTCAGTCGGTTCACTTCAACTTTTTGGAACTTTTATGCAACCCATATTTTATGTAATAAAAATAAATGAATTCTATGATATTTTCATGGAAAACAATTAGGTAATCTATGAAATAGACACGAAGAAAAAATTATCAAAATAAATGTATGATATTTATGAATTATGAATATTATGATATGGTTGTTCTTTAGTTCTACATAATAGGTATTTGCTAACAGCGTTTTATGTGAAGTTGATAACGAAAATCAATAAACAGCTGAAAGAAAATGAAGCAAGTTTAGAAGTTTAAAATCTTCGATCGCAAATTTAACAAATCTAAATAAACAATCTAAATAATCGTATCTAAATACAACAAAAATATTAAGAGTTACAGTTATACCGAGTGGTTTTTTAAGGACGTACACTCATTATTTCGGAAAGTATTATTTTTTTCTGGAATTTGTTTTCTAGAATATTTAAGATACAAGCTGCTCTACAATTTTTTAATTATGTTATTTTTGGGGGTAAAACCATTACCTACTTTTGATTTTTTAATAGCAGCCTATAATATATTATCCATAAATAGATGAAGTATTAGTTAAAATAAATTTGAATCTTGACGTTTTTAATTTCTGTCAAATCGTTAACGAGATATTTCACTTTTAAGTTTAGGTTGGAGGAGAATAATGGAGTAATACTTGTGTGGCAATACGATGCACAGTGTGTTAATAATGCACCATTACTCTCCTCTGAGTTAAACTTAAGTGGATATCTCGCAACGACTTGCAAGAAATCAAAAATTTCAACACCAAAATTTATTTTAAATAATATGTCATCTATTTATGGAATTTGTAATATAGGTTACCATTTTAAAAATAAAAATAAGTAATGGTTTTATCACCAAAAATAAAGGTGAAAAAAATAACATCAATACAAAATTGTAGAACTCCTTGTTTCTTAAATGTTCTAGAAAAAAAATTCCAGGAAAAAATAATACTTTCCGGAGATAACGAGTGCACTTCCTTAAATTAATCACCTGGTATATAGTAGACCTTTAAATTCTAAAACTGTAGACTATTATCATATTATGTATGTGTAAGTAGAAAAAAATATAATGCATTGGAGACATATAATGATTTACAGAACATGTGTATGAAAAGCAAATTAATTTTAATAAGATTTGTTTGTATAGTTTTATCATTATTTAAAATTTACTCTACTTGGATTTACCAATTAGTATTTAAATCGAAAAGTTTTTTTATGTACCAGTTTAATGTACTCTTGTTAAATTAATTAAGATTTAATTGCGTAGTTTTATCATTTTTTTAAAGTTGTTTAATAAACTATGCAAACAAACTAAAATTAAATGAAGGTGCTTGGCAATTTTGTTATTATTTTATAAAAATACTCATGTTTTAATATAGCTGATATAGATGACACATGAATTCCAAAAAGTTAAAGTGACTTAGTTAGTAAACTAAAAGATCCTATAATATATAATTGAATATATCCACTTTCAAGTTTCAGATTTGTTCTTATATACTCGTAAATACTTACAAATGGAGCAATATTTTTAGGTGATATACAAATTCGAAAACGTTAAGTTACTGGTTTCCAAACTGAGGTGCATATAGACATTGCTGGGGAGGTGCAAACAGTTATTACGAAATACAATTTTTATTGATTAAATTATTTTTATTTTAAAACGTACAAAAAAAAAAAAAAAATGTCTGGTTCTTTTTATCCATTATCGGGTATAAATAACGAATAACCGATAAAAACTATTAATGTTTGGCCACAGCGCATAACTAAAACATTTTATGCCACGTTATCTGTAAATTAATTGATACGATAAAAGGATGTCAGGGAAAAAAGCTATTAGATTAGTTTAGACTCAATTTAGTTTCATTTTGTAGTTGCATAGTGCACGTAGTATAGTAGTATGTAGTCATCGCGAGTGTCCGTACTTAAAATTAATGGCTTCATAGAAAATAAGATTGTAAACGATTCATTTTATAGAAGGGGGGAATGTGAGACTTTTGAAAATCTACAAAGGGGGCATAGAATAGAAGAGGTTGGGAACCACTGCGTTAAGTTGACTCCGGTGGCTAAACATTCAGTGATAATATTAGGGGAGATGACTTACAAATTCTGATTTTTAGCATACAAATAGTTACAAACGATTTACTAAAACTTGGCTGGTTCAGACGTTGAAACCAAAAAGAATGTTCGACTTCCGAGAAGTTATTAGTGGTTTAATATTTTATGGATAATCAATGTTGGTAGTGTTTACACATTTTGATTTTGTGTTTACAAATACTTGGCTTACTAAATGGTTGCAAAATATGAATTCAGGTGGCCAATGTAGAACTGTTAATTTCACCAACATATTTAAACGCTTAAGTATTGTTATTCGATTTTTAAATAAACACCTATTTATTTTCTGGTTTTTTACAAGGTCAAATTAATTGTACGAGTATATTTTTGATTGTATTAAATATCATATTGTGTTGTGTTCGCCTGTGTTGGTAAACGTCATGGCCGAGGAAAAAATATTAAGATGGAATTCGGGTATTATTCCGAACATTTTAATTAACGAAAAATGTATATGTGTGAGTATTTCATACATATATATATTTATAAAACATGACGTGTATTAAATGTGTAAAGGAATAGGTAAGTATACGCATAATATCATACTGGTATATATTATTGTAAATATTTAATCATTGGAAATATATATTTTCACGTATTTTAATTAAAAAATCAGCATGTGAATTATAATACAAAATAATAATATTATAATGTGTTTGTATATAACACTTAAATTTAATATTATACTACGAATAATAATAACTATACATGATTAATGTTATTATTCTACTGTTGGTTTACATAATTATTATAAGTTACGGTTCTGTAAGCAGTATGTACGAATGCGATATTTTTCTTAACAAAATTGATAAATTATTTATTTTTGTAAACGCGTGTATAAAAAATTGTTTAGATAAAATAAAAAAATGCTTCGCGCCATAGGCGATTTAGGTGTACGGGAAGACGAGAATGTATTATTTAGCAATATTCAAAATGTAATTAACTCAACAACTCTATAAAATCGTCTCAAGTCTTTCTTAATCTCGAAATCAGAGATATATATTAGTTACGCGAATCATTGTTAAATGTATTACTAGAACTATTTCACTGTACCGCGTGTTTTTTACTTTTTAGAAAGAAATATTCGTAATCCGTAGAAAAAATATCATGAAGAAAGTACGCTTGCCGAGCAGAAAGTCTTTATTATTTAAGGTGCAGCGAACCTTTCGGAACATTATTTACTATGCCTACCTACCTAACTGAATAAAAGTATTTTTCGAATGAAAAAAAAAAACACGTGTTGTAGTAAAACCAGTATATTATTATTATAGCATTTTCGTTGTAGGTACCCGAGAAAACCTCGTGTATACAGTACGACGATTTCTTTACCATGATCCAGCGATTATCTATCGAGATTTTGAGTAAAATGTATTTTATTTTTTGCCAGTTGTTATTATAGAAACGTCATGCAGATATCCTACTAGGCAACAATATGTCTAAATATCACCCTTACGCTGTACAACATAAATAACAAAATAAACTGCTCCTACCCAATTTTAAACGAGTATGTAGTAAAATGATGTGGTCTACCCTGAAGTAGCCGGCTGCCATTAACCCGTATGGCTAAACAGTTCTCACGTGACGCAAATAGACGGATAATTTAATAACGTCGTGTGGTTAATATGTCTCATATGAGAAAATCAACCACTACTTAATGACTTCAACATTGACTGCAATTGCTCCCCCATCACTTCGACGATGAACCTATGTGCTGACGAAAGAGGTCACAATAATAAACTTTAGTCACGATTTATCTACTAGCATCAACAATGTGGTGATATAACCAGTCCGGAGATCCTTTAATCAAGAGTGCAATTAACCTGGATAGCGCTAAAGTCTAAATAGACGTAGACAGAACCAGCGTTTAAGGACACTATCCAGAGCATGAAAACACAAAGTCAAACACCAACAGTTCTTAATCTGCCGCACGTCTTACGGTGCTGAATGGCCAATCCGCTCTTACCAGGGACCTAAAACCGACCGCCCAACAACTCCGACCGGCCACCAAATTTATTTTCTGTTTTATAAATGTTTTATTTTTATTTCGTTACATTTTTTACAACGATTGCTTTATTTTCGATTAAGCACGTAACCATACAAAACCAGACGCTAAAACTTTTCAATCATCATTATTTATTTAGCGGCTAAATAAATTATAATCATTGAAAAAAAAAAGCCAGAAATCAATTTTACACAAAACCCTCCGGAAAAATATCTAGATAATCCGATAAAGGTATATAAAAATACCCTAAAAACAATAAAATCGGATGCGTATGATTGCGTCGCGTTGCAATATAGTCGTATAAAAATTGCTCGGTACATCTAAATGTACCGAGTTACCTATTATAATAATAATTTTTCAATATAGTTTTTATAATTAATAATCGTTAGTATAGGTATACCTACAATATTATTATGATGATACGTTATCGATCGACTATTGCAGATAGCGTGATGCGATGTGTAGACGAGGAATATACGATAGGAGGAAGTAATGTGTGGTGGAAGAGTAGGGTGGTATAGGGTGAGGTGAAGATACGAAGAATGTTAAACTCTCGAGAAACGCGATGTGCGTAAAATATATCGCGGGACAAGAGACAAAGCCCGATCGTATAACCAGAGGTCTATAGTATACGACTAAACACGCGTATATGATAAGTACATACCTATTATATTGAAAAGGTGTACTCGTTTATCATTATGCCTATCTATATAATAAGTCTCGCATATACAGAGTGATGGACATAACGCAAGACATTCGAAGGTTATAAATACACTTTTTCACAGAGTTTGTTTTTTTTTTTAGAAAATTTAAGTAACAATTGTAAATTGTAATTCTAAAATTGTAAACTATCGTTATTTATTTGGCCACTCTTATTTCGAGGGGTTAATCTATTGTTTACTTTTGAATTCCAAACAGCAACCTATTATTATTCTATATAGATGAATTAAATATGATGTTTTAATTTAAATATATTTTGGCGTTGACATTTTTAATTTCCGTCATCCCGTTGACAAGATATTCCACTTTAAATTTAGTTATTTTATGAGTAAGGGTAGAGCAGTTAATCACGGTTCAAATGCTACTACACGAATGTTGCTCACCACTACTCACCCCTACTCAAGAAAAGTAAAAATGGAAAGTAGAATATCTCGTTAACGGACTGAAGGAATTTCAACATCGAAAAACATTTGTACTTAAACTTCATCTATTTATGGAATTTTCAGTATAAATTGTTATTTAAAAATCAAAATTAAGCATTAATTTTTAAAAAAAATTTGTAAAATTTTTTAGAGCCTCTTGTTTCTTACATTTTCTAAAAAATAAATTCCGAAAAAAAGTTAATAATTTTCGAAATTATCAGTGTTTTGCGTTATGTCAGTCATCCTGTATACTCACTCGTCGTCGTTTACATGAGCCAACAATCATTTAACCCTCCCGTAATTATTATATAGGCGTGTACACTACCGATCGCGATCGTCTAATCGGTTTTTTAGCATGTCGTTTTATTAAACACCTATCATAATACCCGGTGTGCGTTTCGACGTTTCGGTCCATTTTATAGACACGACGTTCACGTCTATTATAATAATGCCTGTCTATAGTATAAAATGTGCAATTAGGTGTACAATAATACCGCGGAAGTGAATAAATTAGCGTATATAGGGTATATAGTAAACAGACACATTAATGTAAAACAATAGCTGCAGGTACTATATTAGTAAGCGATGATGACGGTGCAGATCGGGTGGTTTGATTAGATTAGTAAAAAAAAAAAAAACAATCAGAAGTCAATAAAACAGCTGATATTATTGTAGTAAAATATAAAAACGATGAAAAAATACGAACGAATATTTTTAAACACTTCAGCATTTCGTACAAGTCGTGTGATGGTGATCTAACAAGACATTAATATTTCAATGGTTTTCATGCGTGTACACGACGAAGTACTATAAAACCCGTAGGTAGTTACTTGAGTGATGTAAGTATAGATTACTAGGATACGTGTATTAAAGACCGGCTCTAATAACATCGCTACGGATAGAGTATCGTAAGTTTGAAATGTTTTGCAGTGCCTATCTTCGCGTTTCTCAAGAGTTCGACATTCCTTTGCGTATAATTTTTTGTCAGATTTACACCCACGCACGGGGTGTACAATTGCAAATAGTATATACGGGTTAAGTTTTAGTATATTTTAAGTATACCGACACTGTAATAATATTAACACTATAAATTTACACTAGTGATGAACACTATGTTATAATAGCTTTGTTCTTTATAATAAAAAGTGTTTACCTATAATACACATTTGATATGATATGAACAGTGTAAGGGAAACCAAGGGCAAAAGTAACACCGCAATCTATTCTTCCGTAGTAATTATTTGGAATCGGTCGCGAGTATATCGTTTGCATCACCACATGGGAATATAATAATATATGCCGGTGGTAATTTGGCCGTTTGAATATTTATAAACCTTACCCCCGTGAGTCATATAAACAAAAAACAACAGAATTTGATTTTTTTCATTATCTCAGGAGAAATATTCATGGAACACCCTGTATTGATATACTAAGAATATCGAATAAGTTTCTTTCATTATTTGAATGTTTCATATATACTATATGTATATTAGGTATAAGCGCTTGAGATATGTTTACATTATATTTTTTGTTGGACCAAGATTTCTGGTAGTTCTGGTTGTTTACAAATAATGATAAAGAAAAAAAAAACAAAATAATAAATAAATAAGCGCACATCCTAGTAGACCAACACATTTCTCTGCTCAGAATCAAAAATTATATGATATAGGTACTATACTGTTTTTTTTTTTTTATTTTAACCAAGTGGATATAAAAATATGATCGAAAAATTGTACACGGTGACAAATATTAGTAGTAGGTAAACATTTAATTAAAAGATGTTATCCACTGCTGTGAAAAGAATACGATGCACCCTAAAACTATTGATGTAACCTAACCTAAACTAAAATAATATAGGTTACAATCGGTACAATTAACAATAATTATAAACCTCTTGTGCTTTGGCTCGTCCGTTTCATGCGGAGAATTTCTCGAGTGTTTAGCATTCTTTTCCCGCGGTAAAATCATCTTCTCGCTTAGGCACAGTTGTGTATCTCCGCACAAAACGATGCTG